AGTTATATTCTCCAGCATCATTGAATGAAAGACTTGTTAATGTTAAACTGGCTTTGAAACACTGATGATGGCAAGGCTACATCATGCATCATATAATCTCTTATAACTTCCTCTGATTTAAACCACTTTATGCTAAATGAAGAAATATTAGGACCAGTAGCATTAGTAAGACTGATACTGCACTGTATGAATGCTTGTTCACCAATGACATATGAAGAATTGATCTTTATGGAAACTGATGAGACTCTAGTATCTGAATTAATAGTAACTAATGTACTAGATCTATAGGCTAACCTATTACAGTAATGACAATACTTCTCATTAAATTCCTTGATATTAAATGTGATGATACTACACATGTGAATGTCTTGTTATCATCGCTGAGCAATACTGGATCGATTGTTAATCCATTTTCATAACTGTAGCTATTAAATGATGACACATCTTGCCATTCTATCACAGCATTAGGGATTGAAGGAGTTGTTTCACATTTTATATCAGTACTGCTACCTACTCTAAGACTAGTATAATTGCCACTGATAGTCACATTCGGAACTAATAATGGATACACTGAATATATAAGAATATACATTTAGTGATACTAACTTAGCATTTGTAATGTTAAGAATTCAAAGTTGTCTCCACACATGTTTGAACTAGAGCATTTATAATCACTTTCATTTTCATAGCTAAAAGAGTTTAATGTAACTGGTTGATTTGAACTGATTAAATTTGGTCCAGTAATAGTATAAGATCCAACAGAGGAGGAGCAATTAATGACAGCATCATCTCCAGGATAAAGAAGTAATGACTCAGTCATTATATGTACAACAGGTTTGGCTATTATCAAAAAGAAAATTAAATCAAATAATTTTATTAATCTACTGACCTCGGATATTAACAGTGGTATAATTTACAATAATACGTTCACTTTCAATGACATTAGCTACACAAGCATATTCTCCACTGTTAGCATCATTCACTGATGGTAACTGTAATGTACTGATGTACAAGTATTCCTCATCATTTCTAGTAATATTGTTAGTTGGTATATAAGTCCCATTGTGAAACCATGAGATATTAAGAACTGAAAGATCAGACCCAATTACTGTATTAAGAGTCACTACACACTCCAATAGCACTGACTCATTAACACATAACAGTGATGGATTACGAATGAACACAGATTCAACGTATGTATCTAAGTGTGATTAATCAATGATTATGTTAGTCTATACTGTATTCCTTACCATTTACTATTAGAATAATATTGCTATCACCGCATGTATAGTTACCAGAGTCAGTGCTCCTCACTGCTAGTATATTCAGTGTATTTCTACTGGTAATGAAATGACGTGTATCATTTATGATGTTGTCTTCATTCTGTTTCCAGTCTGATTCACAGTTACACTCCAGGACAACACTATCACCTACTGAGAGTCTTGCTTCAGTGACATTGCTTCCATTCAATGATATATTACAATCATCTAATTTCATTGATAGATTATCCTAAGTTTTATTATTCTTACTTACCAGTAGCATACGAATCTACTGCAATAAGTAACAAAGCATAAGGAAAAAACCACCAAGCTTTCATATTTTTCCAATTGGTACTAACGTATATTTTAGCTGCGGGTTGTATAGCCTCCTTATAATGTATGAAGTTTATTTTAAATAAGCAAAAGTACATTATTTCAGTTGTTTTACTGACACTAATGAATAATTGTTTGTTGGTAAATAAACTGTGATAATAAACATCTATTATTATTATGGCAGTAGTCTAGTCATAAAGTGTTACCATTATACTGTGTAAATCTACTTGGAACACAGGATCTTTTTATCAGTTTAAAAGTTTTAAAAAAATAAGCCATGATATGTAAAATAATGACAAAACTAATAAGTCAAAATCTAAATCTACCTGATGACAATACATAACTAAACTTAGTCCAGCTAATTTTATTTGTTCAAATGTAACGTTTGAAATTGTCGTATTGGGACATGTCTTCAGCAAAATCCGAAATTATTTCATGACAATAAATGTACTGATCCTAAAAATATAAGAAGTATTTCTCATTCTATTATATATATATATATATATCTCATAATTATGACATCATCCTTTGATGTGGTTGGGTTTATATTTTTGTATATATACCTGCCATTCAGAAATGCTGTCATCATTATGAAATATATCCTATATAACATACTAAAACTGGTCTATATACAAAAGATATAGACCTTTGGTGGGTGTCCTCAGATGTGATATAGCCCTCGGGCCTGTGGCCCTCGGGCTATATCACATCCTTGGACACCCACCTCAGGTCTATATCTTTGTATATAGACCTGTTTAGTATGATATATAATACACATATCTTACCAAACAATCAACCAGTCCTGGTCTCTGGCTCCTTGCTTTCCTAATGAATTGAAATATATCAGACACTCCTTCAGTTTTGGCTCTTTCTATTTGAGAATAAGCTGTCAGAAACGTACCACTACAACCAACACCATCACTATGATATAATGGAAACATATACTTTTATTTTTAATTATTTATCATTTTCCTTACTTGCAGATCACCACAATAGGTTTATTACCAGTTTTGCTTTGATTCTTAACAACAGATTCAAAGAGATTAACAAGAGATGAGCCAGGTT